CCACTGAGTTTGAGGCCAGCCTGGGCTAGAGTGAATTCGAGCCCAGTGTCAACTACATAGCAAGAATTAATAAATAGTCTAGATTATTCTTATACTTGACACCACAAGCACAATTTACTAAGACAAAATTGATAAACCAGACTTCATCAAAACTAGAAACTTTTGCTTTGAAAAGAGCTTATTAAGATGAAGACAATCTACAAAGTAAAAGAAAATACCTGCAAGCCACTCATCCAAAAAGAACTAGTATCTAAAACATCTAAAGAATTCTTGCTAGGCGTGGTGACCCTCACCTGTCATCCCAGCACTTGGGAGGCTGAGGCAGGAGGATAACTATGAGTTCGAAGCTAGCCTGGGCTATGTAGTGAGACCCTCAAAAAAAAAAGAATTCTCAGCCCGTATTCACTCTTGCATGGTGGCCTGCCCTCATGCTGTAGAGTGTACTACTTCAACTTTTACTTGGCCCAAACTCACTCAGCAGAGCCTGTTTCTTTTTCTACCTTTAATAAACCTTTGCTACCATTGTTTTAAAAAAAACTTCCCAAGATTAAACAGCTGAGTATGGTGGAACATGACTGTAATCCCAGCTACTAGGAAGGCTGAGGCAGGAGCATCACAAATTCAAGGCAAAGCTAGCTTCAACAGTCAAAGTCTTGGGCCAAGGATTTAGCTCAGTGGCACAACACCTGCCTTGCAAGCACAAAGGATCTGAGTTCAATCCCTGGTACAAAAAAAAAAACAGTCAAAAATCTTAAAAAAAAAAAAAAAAAAATCCAACCATAAAATGGGACATAGATACGGACATTTTAATCAATAGGATTCATTTACCAATAAAACATATGAAAAGGTGTTCAATATAATTAGCCATCAAGGAAATGCAAATTTAAAACCACAATGAGACATTAGGATGGCTAAAATAAAAAACAGTAACATCATCAAATACTGGCAAGGTTGTGGAGCAAATACAACGGGTAATTTTTTTCCTTTATTTTTGTTATGAGTACATTTTTGCAGTACACAATGATTACATTCATCCTGGGGAGTTGGTACATGTATGTAGCAAATCTTAATTCTTTTTCATCTCCTTCCTCTCTCTTCCCTCCATCCTCCCTCTCTCTCTCTCTTTTGACAAGGTCTGCCTATGTGATTCAGGCTAGCCTTGAACTCATGCATAGCCCAGACTGGCCTCAAACTTGCAATGATCCTCCTGCCTCAGCCTCCTGAGTCCTCCTGTATGTGCCACCATGCCTGGCCCTCTCTCCATCTCTTGATCCCTTTCCCTTTTACAACAAATCTCCCATTATCTATCTTTTATTTTACCCTTTTTTTAAATATATATTTTGGGGGGCTGGGGATGTGGCTCAGTGGCACCTCGCATGCCTGACAGGTGCAAGATCCTGAGTTTGATCCCTGGTAACACACAAATAAATAATAATAAAAATATATAGAAGAGTCTGTCATATAAAAGAAATCATGTAGTATTTAAGCTTGTGTGTCTTACTCCACATTATGGTCTCAAAAAGTTTATCTATTTTTCTACAAAGGAGTCCAAGTTGTCCTTTATAGTAGAGTAGTATCCCACTGTATATACATTTTATTTGTGCGTATAGTGCACATATGTGCATGCATATATATATGTGCATATAGTGCATATATGTGCATTAGTGCACATATGGTGGACATATAGGTGGCTTCCAATATTTAGCTATTATATAAAAGAATACCAAAAAATGCCAGGTATTGATGAAGAGTTAAACCAATTGTGTTCATCCATAGCAGATGCCAGAGAAAGGATCAAACTAGGAATAACACATCACAGCTGGGATGAAACTCCAGGGAACTGAGCTGAATGGAACATCAATTCCAAAAGGCTGTATTTCACCCTTCATTTGGCATTCTTGGTAACCAAAATTAGGCAAACAGTAAATTGGTTGCCTTGTTGCCAGAAGGGTTAAAGGCAGAAGGAACATCAGTGCTGACTTAAAAAAGGTAATAGAGGGGCTGGGGATTTAGCTTAGCGGTTCGGTGGCCTGCCTTGCAAGAGCAAGAACCCAAGTTTGATCCCCTGTACCAAAAAAAAAAAAAAAAAAGTCAATAGGACAGCTGGGTGTGGTGGCATGGCACCACTCAAGCGGCTGAGGCAGGAGGATCGCTGCAAGTTGGAGGCCAGTCTAGGCGACATAGTGAGTTCAAGGCCAATCTGAACTACACAACCAGACCGTAACTCAGCAACAACAAAAGAGGCAAAAGGCCATATCCTTGAGATCATAGAAATATTCTGTATCTTGAATTGTACTAATGTAAATACCTGGTTATGATATGTACTATAGTTGAGGAAAATCTACCACTGGAGAAAAACAGAGGATCTTTGCACTAATTTATGTTTTCTTTTTTGGGGGGGTGGGAGGACCAGATCTATGTAGCACAGGATGGCCTCAAACTCAAGAGTTTGAAACCCTCCTGCCTCAGCCTCTCAAGTGCTGGTACAGGTGAGTACTGGCATTACAGCTGTGCACCACTACACCCAGCTCCTATTTGTTTTGACTGTATATAACAGATCTGTATGTAGAATTTCTCAAAATTTTAACACTTACATTTCTCATAGTTTGTACAATTATCTCAAAATATAAAAATGGTACTCAAAAAGAAGCTGTCTTTAACTCATCCCAACACCTCATAAACACAGTAAATGCTTGGCACTTAATAAACTGAGCATTCTCCATAGAGACTAGTGAGGAGGCCCCCATCTCCACAAGTGAACCTGCCTTGCTCTCCCCTCACACCCAATTACTAGTTGTGAGTAATCTACACACACAGCCTCACTGCTTGTGCTCTGGTGAATCCCAGTTCACAGACACAAATCCTGATTGGCTATACTCCTTGTGCCTGCAGTCTGTTGCTATGGTCTTGTATGTTTGTATCCTAGAAAAAATTCATATGCTGACACGCTAACCTCCAAGGTTAGAATACTAGGGGGGGCGGTTCTTATGGGAGGCGAATGGTCTTGTGTTTGTATCCTAGAAAAAATTCATATGCTGACACGCTAACCTCCAAGGTTAGAATACTAGGGGGGGCGGTTCTTATGGGAGGCGATTAGCCCACGAGGGCAACCCTAACAAATGGGATTAGTGCCTTTAAAAAAGAGGCCAAGACTCCCTTCCCCTTCTGTCATGTGAGAACATATGAGGGCTGACTGTCTGCAAACCAGGAAGCAGGCTAGCACCACACCCAGAACCTGCCAACACCTCAATCTTAAGACTTCCCAGCCTCCAAAACCATGAAAAATAATTTCCAACTATTGATAAGCCAAAAAAAAAACTTTAAATTTAATCAAAACCAACAGACATTTTTGTATAAATATTTCTGAGACTCAAATTACTCTTTCAAAGTTACTGGATTGTGGTGGCTGCTAATTGAATATACTACAAACTACTGAACTGAGTTTAAACAGGTGAATTGTATTCAGAGTGAATCATATCTCGAAGTTGTTATTCAAAGAGAAAAGATAATTGAAATGTTAAAAGTATTCTAAAAAAATTAATAAGAAGCCAGGTGTGGGTGACACACACCTGCAATTCCAGCACTCCAGAAGGCTGAGACAGGAGGACCATAACTTCAAGCCCATTCTGGGTAATTTAGCAACTTAGCAAAACCCTGACTCAAAAAATAAAAATAGATAGGGATATAGTTCACTGCTAAGGCTGTAGGGTCAATTCCTGGTACCACACGGAAAGATACTATGATCTCTCTCCAAATTCCCAAGATACATCTGAGCTAATTTAGAAAGCTACAATAATATCAAATATTTCCATCAGGTAGGTCACAGCAATAAATGGGTGGCCTGACTGATGCACTTGGTGCCACTCATTCTTACACCAGTGCACATGCAATCACGCTCCAAGCGTAGGGCTACCAGAACAGCTGTGAAGAAAGCCGAACACAGTTCCCTTTGCTGGTGTCAGAGAAAAGGGGCACAGACACACCTGGGCAAGCCTGAGTCGTGAGATCAAGGGAAAAACTGAATAAACCCTTTACTTCGCCTAGCTTCTATCACCAACTTTAGAGGTCACATCCCTAAACTGTATCCGCCCAATGACTCCTTCAGCTGATATCTCAGCCGTGGAGGAGGCCACGATGCTCAGTTGTCCGAAACTTAGAGGCCTTCTCAGCCTATCTCAAGCCGGTGGCCCGCTTTCCTGGGGGACCGTACAAATGTGTGGTTAGTGACCTGAAGCCAAGACTTGAGCTCCAACTAAGATGCTCACGGTCGCCATCTCCCGGACATGCGCACAATGGGCCGGAAGTGGCTCGGCAAGGGCGCGGCCCACCGGGCACCGCCCCTTCCCCACAGCCTGATTGCCCGCTTACAGGTGCCATCAAAAGCCCTATACCTGTCCTCAGGGAGACGGGCAACTAAACTTGCTAAACGTCATTTTAGGGACTGGCACTGTAACCGGCTCGGGGTCAGGTTCCCGTAACATCCCAGCGGCTGTCGCACACCCTTCGCAAGGGAAAAGTCGCCAGAGAGCCCTTTTGCGGGCTTCCCCCTTCCCAGGTACTACCGGCTGGGAGGCAGAGGTAGCCGCCAAGGTCGAGCAGTCCGGGGTAGGACGGCTGCTCCCCAGGACAAAGGGACGTCCGCGCGGCAGGACGCAGCCCCACGGTGCCTGCCATGTGCAGCCGCCACGACCTTGGGGGTC